TCCACTTGGAATCCTATAGTAGAACAAGGATGCACTCTCATCCAATTTGAGACAGACTGCACAAAAGAGTAGACTTCTAGGTTTTTTATGGTGTTTTTGCTTTGTTGTTCTGTTTATAACACTTCTTTCTCCTTCAAAGACTGCCTGTTGTCACTTCTCATGCCTACTAGCTCCTTAAGGGCGAAAGCCATGGTCTTACTCATCTTTGTGTCTCAAGGCCCAGTGAAAGTCCTGGCAAGTGTGCTGAGTGCCTCTAGTTAAATATGTGTTACTACTTCCAAGTAGCCTTATTCCCTTAGTTTTCTAGACTATGCTACAAAACTGCCCAACTGATATATTAAATAATGAAATTTACTAAAACAGAGCTTGACTTTATATACACTACCAGGCCACCTAAAATCAGCATAAGATTCCATCAATGACACTATCTTATAGAATAAGGCATGTGTGCATAGTGATAATTTTTTAATATTTGTTTTATTTGAAAGTCATATTTAGAGAGACAGAGAGAAGAGAGGTCTTCCATCTGCTGGTTCACACCCCAGAGGGCCACAACAGCCAGGACTGGGCTGGGCTGCAGCCAGAGCTTCTCCTGGGTCTCCCACATGAGAGCAGGGACCCAAGCACTTGGGCGACCTGCTGCTGCTTTTCCCAAGCCATTAGCAGGGACATGAACTGGTACCCATATGGGACTGCAAGCAATGGCTTTACCAGCTATGCCACAATGCTGGCCCCATGGTGACAATTTTTGGGGGTTTCTGAATACATGGTTATGTAGATATTTAGCACTCATATCCAACATTAAAATATTTGAAGTGTAAGCAAAGGTAAACATTAAGCAGGGAATCAGTTTAGGACGCGTGTTATTAAGTTATTCCATAAACTCAGTTTTTAGGATTTAAAATCAAATTAATTCTACAGTAAAAGGAGACTCTGGCCACTGCTTGATGCCTAGCTTCATTTTACTAATTGTACAATAGCACTATTTGTGTAATGGGCACGTTGGCCTTAAACTTGGTGATCTCATCAACAACTCCGAATACGATCTATGGAAAATCTCTAGAGATGTGAGGGAGACAGCAAAGCCTCCTATAGCCTCATTCTAGGACAACATGTTTGGCAAATAAGAGCAAAATTTTTACCTGGGAAATTCTTTCCATGATTCTCACACCCAGGGTGTCAAAGACAAGGAACTGTACTTCCAGAAGCTCTGTTTCTCCATCTATAACATAATTGAATTGGACCCTGTAATTTCTAAGGTCCATTGTTTCTCTAATATACTGTGATTCTGAAGGGAGACAAAAAGCCCCAGTATAAATTGAAGCTTCTAGGATGTTTCAGGTCTTGATTTGTTGCATTTCACCATGGTTGTTTGAAAATCCTGGAATGGGACCATTTCATTTGTCCCCAAATGGCTCCTTCTCTGTTTAGTGGCTTGCCCTGTAGCCTCCACATAGTAGTACATGGGAAAATGAAATTTTAGGCCAATTCAGACAGTGGAATTGGAAAACTTGTTGCCACAGCCATCCCGAAGGAATAAAATATAGCTATTCTTCATAATTTATAAGTTTAAAGTATGTTATTTTTCTACAACTGGGAACAAATTTATGGCTTTAAGTATCTGGAGAAAATACAAATTAGGATATTCATTAAGACAAATTAACAGAAATCCACCATCATAATGCAGCCCAGAACCTCACTATACAGCATAAACATACAGCTTTGACCAAAGTTTGTGGGTAATTAGAATGACTTTATATAGAATGTATACACAGTTCATGTCAGCAAAGTGATATGCTCAAAATTAATAATTTATAAGAAATAAAACATAAATCTTTATTTCAATAGCAATAATGTTCTCTATGAAAATCCAATTAGTTCAAATCGGCAAATATATCTTTTCACAAATAATCATGGAAGCCACACTCAAGAGCATATTATCACTTTGTAGAAGAATAAAAATCTTTGAAATTCTAACAGGAACTCTGAGGGATACACAAAGTAATAGCAGTAAATAACTGCGTGCAAATAAAACTTGAGCAGCTCAACACCACCTGTCCTAGGAACAGTGTCTCATTAGTTGATCTAATCATTTTACAAGAAGAATGATATTCAGTGTTCTGAGTTCTTTTCTCAGAGAAGTCTTAGGCTGTCAATCACTTGATGTAGCAGGGTAAAGTAAGACAAGAATTTCAAGGAATCTAGTATCATCAGTTACCTCTCATTTCAGGAAGATTGCTAGACCTTCCCTTCTAATTCTGCTGGACTTCTTCCTGGTGTATGACAAAAAAAAAAAAAAAAGGATGAAACTAAAGATGAAAATCTGGCATGACCAGAATTCAAGGCAATGTGATATAGTAAGTAATTTAATGAGCAGAATCATGGCCTCTTTGTTTTTCTATGTGAATCATTCCAGTTCCAAGCTAAGTAAGACTAGAGTTATCTTTTCCCAGAATTCATAGGGACCTACAATAGGAGAGATGCAGTCCTCCCTCGTTAGACTCTTGGGGGCAACAGTGTCATATTAAAAAACCTAACTGTGGAAGAGAGAAGAAAATGGTTTCTTATTTAAAAAAAAAAGCAAAATTTGTACCATGCTATATCATCAGGGCAACAGAGCCAACACATGCACCTTATACACAAACTTAATGAAAATGTTTGTAAATATTAAAATAATTACTGTAAAACCTGAATGTCTGGAGAATTTATGACACTGAGAATAACCACATTTATAAAATAATATATAATATAACCACAATAATATAAAATTTATTTACATATGTCAGATAGACACATGAAAATGGTTTTTATTTTTTAAAGAATGAGATCATAGGAGAATTTTTTCTTTTTATTAATGTTTCCAATATTTGTACAATATCATTAGGAAATGTTTGTTAAAATGGGAAGATTTGAAAGATTATGTTTTTCTCGGTTTTAATGACTTAAAGTGAGGCTTCTACTGCTTCCTTTTAAATTTAAGGACTGATGTGTTCTTAATGTTGAACATTCATTGAATAATCAAAAATATTACTAATCTCAAAACCAAAACTTGAAAGAAAGCTGGGGCCAACCTAAGGTCCTGTGTACACTTCACTCCCCTTCCTTCATGTGGGTGATGTCTCTCACACACACACTTTACTGTCTAATTCAAATTAATGTTTCTATGAGGGAAGAACACTGGAGAATCCAGCAAGTGTTAATTCATTTCATTTCTACTCCACTTCCAACTCCTGTCTCACACCTTCACTACCATCTGATTTGATTCCTATCAAGGCAAAACTGTAGTTCATAAGAACACTTACTCCAGAAATATCACTTAGAAGATCCCTGAAGATTTGTACAAGAGTGGTGTGATCAGAGCTTGTGAATGTCCTGGTATTCTGATGGCATTGCTGTGTTTCTCATTATAGGTTTCCAGAACATTTGACTAAAAACTGGTAATTCTAGTAGATAAATTGGTCATTCAATAACTGTTACTGTTTGCATATAACCTACATCACTATAAAATTTCTATCCTTAAGTAAAATGAGTTTCCATTAAGGGCATATTTGAAATTGGACTCCAGCCTCAAAAAATGAAATCCCCACTAGGAGGAGACTTCTTGGAATGGCCTCTGCCAGGCAACAAGTAGGATTATGTTAGGTAGAGCCATGTTCATTTAAGTGGAGACACCAGTTACCCTTTCATGTTGCAGCCTCAAACACTGACACAGGAGTGAGCAGTCAGGTTTGAAAGTGCTGCCTGTCATCTTGGGCCCAGGGAGCCTTCCTGGCACTCACTTTCCTGGAGTAGGGCTGGTGGTAGGGTCTGAGCCAAGGTCCTGTGTACACTTCACTCCCATTCCTTCATGTGGATGATGCCTCTCTCACACACGCTGTACTTTCCAGTTCAAATTAATGTTTTGGTAAGGGAAGAACACTGGAAAATCCAGCAAGTGCTAATGCTAATTCATTTCATCTCTACTCCACTCCCAACTCCTGCCTCACACCTTCACCACCATCGTAGATACTGTACCTTCAAGGTTTCTTAGTTAACACCATCTTCCCGCAATGTTTGAAATAAGAAGTAGGTTGGGGACAGGCATTTGGCACAGCAATTAAGTTGCTGCTTAGGACATCTACATCCCCTATCAGAGTGCCTGGTTTGAGTCCTGGCTCCTCCACTTCCAATCCAGCTTCCTGCAAATGTGCACCCTGGGAGGTGGCAAATGATGTCTCAATATTGGGGCCCTTCCCATCCACATGGGAGACCAAGACTGAGTACTTGGTTTCTGGATTCAGCCTGGTTCAGCTCTGTCTGGGATATTTGGGTAGTAAACCAGCAAATGGAAGTGTCTCTCTCTCTCTCTCTCTCTCTCTCTCCCCCCCCTCCCCCTCCCGTGTGTGTGTGTGTGTGTGTCTGTGTGTGTGTGCCTTTCAAATAAAATTTCACTAAATAAAAGGTTTTAAGAAAAAGAAGAAAACTAACTTGGCAACCTGAAAGAAGTCTTCCCTGGACCAAGACTTCCACTGTTAGAACTTCACTGTCAGCCTTCTGAGCAGGCATCAGTTGGACATGGGAAGATTTAGGGGCTGCCCACTAGGCAGGACTAGCAGCCTAGTACTATCACCTGCACTGATCAAGCTTAGTGCACCAAATCATTCTTTTAGAAGTTCCTCATGGTCTGTAATATTATTCCAGTCTTAAGAACACCCATTTAAAAATACCGCCAAGTCATATAAGTTCTTTATATTAAAAATGCCAACTTCTTTCCCTTCTATGATGTTATCAAATCATCATACTCTATAGTTGGTGTGGTCCAGATAATGATCTGATGGGTGTTGTCTTCTTTCCATCCTTTTAGTATAACTCCAGACATAATATTCATGTTTGCACCTGAGATCACTCATGACATGGAAGCATAGGCTAGTGGTCCTCTTGCGTCTCCTGTGAAAGGTATTGTTTACCACTCCCAAATGTTGTGAGTTGGAAAGCTTTCCTTAACCATGAGCCCAGCACACCACCTGCTCCAACATACTCTGATATCATCAGGGAGGCGAAAAAACAATTTGAAAGAAACTACAAGGAATTTAGAATGTAAGCTGCTGCCAAACTTTTGTTAAATATAAAATCATACTTTTAAATAGCTGGAAGTGATCATAGAAATCATCTAAATTAAGCTTCTTATTTTGCTGATCCTGCAAATTATCTGAGCATCTTACAGATTTAGAGATTCTTTTCAGGTAAATGGTGTATGTTATAACCATAGAGCCATAGCAAGTGTCAGGAACCAAAGAGAGGAAGGAAGCTATACTGTGGTGTGGTTGAGGATGCACCCTAACGTGGGCTACAGCTGCAGAGAATACAGTATAATCCATGTACAAAGATGAGCCCTGAAAAAGGGAAGAGCTTGTGTGTAGTAGGGGTTCCCTGGAGCTGGATGGAAGCTGGGGTGGTATTGAAGTAGGTAAGAGAGGTCTTTTACAGAATGCTTTCTTGGGGAACAGTTTCAGGTTTTTGTGGTTAATTTAAATGACTGCTTGTGCCCAATCATGTACTAGAAAACTACTGATGGGTTAATAAATGAGTTATCCATCAGTTTTTATAAGAACAAATTGGCAGGATCCAGTTCTTCAGTCCATATTAAGGTAACTGCCTAGAGACTTTATTACTGTAAGAGGGAGAAAGGATGGGTATCCTCCTCTTTGGGAATCCATGGCTGGTCAGAGAACACCTATTGCTAAGTGAGGTAAGTAAAGGAGCAGCCAGATAGGACCTATTCAGCAGACAGTGACAGTTCTGAGACCCTGATTTCCACAGATGCCCAATCCCCTTCCCTGCCACACATGCAGTATATTTCCCTTAGATTTCCTAAGCTTGCTGGGAACAAGATATCCTAGTAAGGGTGCCATGGAAGCAGAAAGATGGCATTCAGGCCATAATAAGGTGTCTTGGGCAATGCTTTGGGCACATGTTTCTAAGAGGGAGTGTGTTGGGTGATTCCTCACATCAAATAGTGCATAGACTCTGGCCTCAGAATCAGCCCTTAAGGCATTCAGATCTGGCTAAAAAGCCCATGAGAGTTTCTCAGGCATGGAAAGGCAAGACACGGTGGCAAAAAATGACCTAAATGAAAGATCTCTGTGAGTGAGATCCCAGTGGAATGAATGGGCCATCAAAGAAGGAGGTACCTTTCTCTGAAGGGAGGAGAGAACTTCCACTTTGACTATGGCCTCGTCTAAATAAATAAGGTTGGAGTTTGTGAACTCAAGAGGCTACCATAACCTTGGAAGCTCAAGACAAGAGCCTCGGGTGATTACTGACATCATAAATAAGAGTGTCAATTGTTAAATCAACAACAGGAGTCCCTGTGCACTTACTCCTCATGTAGTGTCTCTGTCCTTATGTGTTTACTATGCAAATTTATGGTAAAACTTGTCTTCAAACAGTACTTTATACTTTGTGTGTCTGTGTGGGTGCAAACTGTTGAAATGTTTACTTAGTATATACTGAGTTGATCTTCTATATATAAAGATAATTAAAAATGAATCTTAATGAAGAATAGGATGGGAGAGGGAGTAGGAGATGGGATGGTTTGTGGGTAGGAGGGTGGTTATGGGGGGAAAAACCACTATAATCCAAAAGTTGTACTTTTGAAATTTATATTTATTAAATAAAAGTTTTCTTAGTGCATAGAGAGAGATAAATTAGTTTGTAAAGGACATTTACTGACATATTTGTGCCAGTTAATTGATTATTTATTCTTTCCCAATTAAGATTGCCTGCTTTATCTTAAAATTTAACTCCAAAATTTTGACTTCATAGAGAAAAGCAAAGAATTAATGAAGAAATAAAATTCCTAAAACAGCGACAGGAAAGAATTGACAAGGAGCTTGACAGGTTTGTTTTGTATTCAACTTTGTAATACTTAAAGTCATTTTAATTAATGAATGTTACATTAAATCACTAGTTATTAAGTAAAACTACATTTACTATAATACCTGCAAAATGGATTTTCTCCTTAACCAGTTCATCTGGAATAACACTTTTTTATCCACAAAAATCACCTATCTTGCTAATTTAATTACTAAACATTGTCATCAACTGTTTTTACTCCTCCAGCTATGGGACTTAAAATAAACCCAGCCCTGCCCTAGGGAAGATGTAAACTAGAAAAACAGCATGTTTAGCTGGTCTCTCCTGGGCTAATTCCTTGTTTCCATTCTGTTCTGCCTTTCTGCTTCCTCTACACATACAAACATTTTTCCCCAATGAAGCAAGGAAAATTGAGCTTATTTAATTTGTTTATTTTATAAATTGGAGTATAAAAAGGAAAACTACAAATTTTAAGAACAACCACTTCTTCCAACACACCCACATGCACAAGAATCAGTATCAGATGGGTACAGCCCTTCACAAAAAGCCCCCCTGGGAAACTAGAACTGCGCCAGTCACATGTCATACTTGTAAATACTATTTTGGAACTTAGAAAACTAGTTTTCACTTATATGAAAAAATCCAACCCATTATTTTAGAATCTTATCCCCCTTACCAGAAACCTCACATTCAAACGTGTAAGGTCAAATTTCAAGTGGTGTTACAGGTTTCCACAAATAAATCCACACAAGACAGAATTTCTCACCGTCGAAGCTGTGCAGAAGAATCTAGGCGAGTTCTCAGGGTAACCCCCAAGAAGCATCCAGATATATTTTATGTAAGGGCACGTTGTAGGAGAAAGTGAAGGGGAAAATACTCATTTGGCTATATAAATCCCATGTGCTTGTAAAATTTATAGGCATGGCATATAAGCTTCCATCTGTCATCTTCAAAAAAACTACACCCATGAAGTCGAAAGGCAGGCACAAGAGGGAGGATTAGATAGTGACAATGACCACAGGACTTGGTGAATATTTTTTTTTTTTTTTTGACAGGCAGAGTTAGACAGTGAGAGAGACAGAAAGGTCTTCCTTCCGTTGGTTCACCCCCCAAATGGCTGCTACGGCCGGCGTGCTGCACTGATCTGAAACCAGGAGCCAGGTGCTTCCTCCTGGTCTCCCATGGGGTGCAGAGCCCAAGCACTTGGGCCATCCTCCACTGCACTCCCTGGCCACAGCAGAGCTGGCCTGGAAGAGGGGCAACCGGGACAGAATCCGGCGCCCCGACCCGGACTAGAACCCGGAGTGCCGGCGCCACAAGCGGAGGATTAGCCAAGTGAGGTGCAGTGCCAGCTGACTTGGTGAATATTCTAAAACCAGTGACTGGTATACATTAAAAGGGTGCAACTGAGAAAGGGCACCAGGGATAATTTGGAGTGTGTTTAAACAGGATTATGAATAAGAGCCAGTTTGGGATAAGAATGAAAAGACAGATGTGTGACCCAGAGGAAAACAGAAAGTGAGAAGAAAACAGAGGTTGAGGAGAAAAAACTGACAGAGATAAAGACTGAGTGAGGGGCATGTGTCTGTCACAGAGCATCAATGCAAAAGACCTACGACTTGGTAGCCTCAGACTGAAGAAACACGGAAGGAACCTAGAACAGGCCTGTCACCTAATCCACACTTCCTGGTACAGCAGTGTGTACTTTGAATTTTCAGAAAATTTTACTTCCTACAAATTTTATGAGGAGTTGGGAATCTTCTGCTTTCCCAGGCCATAGCAGAGAGCTGGATTGGAAGTAGAGCAGCCAGGACTTGAACTGGCGCCCATATGGGATGCCGGCGCTGCAGGCCAGGGCTTTAACCTGCTGCACTGCAGTGCCAGCCCCACATATTAAAATCTTTATAAATGTTGGCTATTAATTTGTGTCAGTATAAAGACAGTTTGGCTACTAATTTTCCTTATCCATAATTAGACTCCAAGCAAAGGCTATGAAGAAGCCTTATGAAGTTCAGAGTGACTTTGAGAAGTTCCTACATAAATTGGTATGTTTCCTTTCTGAAAATAATAATTCTCTCCCTAGTTTCTAATATATACACTGGGTAATATTTCATAAGCAGTATCTGATTCACACCCAAGTTACAGTGGCGCAACAAAATGTATTCTTGGTATTTAATCATCCATATGCACATTTAAGATATTCTTTATTTAAGGCCGGCGCCGTGGCTCAATAGGCTAATCCTCCGCCTAGCGGCACCAGCACACCGGGTTCTAGTCCCGGTCGGGGCGCCGGATTCTGTCCCGGTTGCCCCTCTTCCAGGCCAGCCCTCTGCTGTGGCCAGGGAGTGCAGTGGAGGATGGCCCAGGTGCTTGGGCCCTGCACCCCATGGGAGACCAGGAAAAGCACCTGGCTCCTGGTCCTGCCATCGGATCAGTGTGGTGCGCCGGCCGCAGCATGCAGGCCGTGGCGGCCATTGGAGGGTGAACCAATGGCAAAGGAAGACCTTTCTCTCTGTCTCTCTCTCTCACTGTCCACTCTGCCTGTCAAAAAAAAAAAAAAGATATTCTTTATTTAACATATTTACTGACAATCTCATGCCCTTCTTTCCCATTCCTTGCCTCCAATGGACAGTTTATGCAACTGAAAACCTCCAAAAGCCGTTAGAGCTACAAACTCAAGTTTCCTTTTATTTTTCATTAATAATTCAACAAAAGCATATTGAATATGTTGCTATGTTAGATGAATGGTCCCTGGCCTAAATTAACCAAAACACAAGGCAGACTGCGATAAAGCTCTAAACAGGACTCTACTGTGAGGAAGAAAGGAAGGGAAGGAGACTCTGCCTTCTTCCTGGTTTTCTTTGTCCTTGTCCCTTCGGCTCCTTCTTACTTTGTGGAAAATTCTGTTAAGTCTAAAGGACCTCTTCCTGTCCAACAGGCACATGTATACAATAAAGCTGAAAGTGGTACAACTGGAGATCAGCAATCAAAGACAACCTTATATTTTCAGTATCTCAGGCTTCCACTTAAAATCAAGAGCAATCCAATTGGCTAATGGTATAATGTCAATAATGAGTCAAATAATAAATTCCTACTTGGGCCTGAAGGGTGATAGAACACAGTGAAATACCTGGATGTCTCTCTTGAGCAGGGCCATTCTTTACTTCACACACACACGCACACACACACACACACACACACTCATTTTTCTTGATTTATCTTTCCTAGTATCAACAGACGCATGGTAAAAGAGAAACACTTAATGTAAGAATACAACAGTGTCACTGTGCTGGTGAAGGGCGAGTGGTCTCAATTTGTCAATGATAAGTGATGCATCAGGGAAACTACAAGGGGCTGTGGGAATTGTAGCACCCTGGAGAGTCACACCTTACCTAACAAGACAGCTACTACCTCAGCTCCAGGTCTTTGTTGCCTTGTAGGCAGGTAGACCAAAATGTTATCAGATTTTCCACTATCAGTAATAAAGATTCTTCAGTAAAACCTTCTTCTTTGAACCCCAAGATTTTGAAACACTGTATGAGTATTTTCTGACTACATTTAGTTTGCAAAAAAACATCTGTAAACCAGATGTGGCCCATAAACTGACAGTTTGCAACCCCTGGTCGAAAGTCTGCCTAGATTTGGACCTTTTAAAAAGCTGACTCCAGCCCATGTAGCCAATATTATTCTTCACTATATTCCAAAGCCTCTGTACACATCGTGTGCGTAGGTTCCACTCACATGCAACACCTGCTCTCTAGCTTTCAAAATTTATTCACTAGTCCATTTGCTGCATGAAACTTTTCTCCAGTGACTCCAGACAAGTTTTCTATCTCTATTATAAATACCTAGAACAACTCTTAGTGATGGTAGAATTGAAATATAGTTCTTTTCAAGCTAGAAATCAAAACAGATATGTATTTGATGGCTTACAGGAGTACACACAAAATTTTTATTCATCTATTGCAAAGCAGAAATCATGCGGTTAAAAAATTTAAGTAGTATAGCAAAGTGATGACAAGTATCTTTTTTTTTTTTTTTTTTTTTGGACAGGCAGAGTGGACAGAGAGAGAGACAGAGAGAAAGGTCTTCCTTTTGCCGTTGGTTCACCCTCCAGTGGCCACCATGGCCGGCGCACCACGCTGATCCGAAGCCAGGAGCCAGGTGCTTATCCTGGTCTCCCGTGGGGTGCAGGGCCCAAGCACTTGGGCCACCTTCCACTGCACTCCCTGGCCACAGCAAAGAGCTGGCCTGGAAGAGGGGCAACCGGGACAGAATCTGGCGCCCCGACCGGGACTAGAACCCGGTGTGCCAGCGCCGCTAGGCAGAGGATTAGCCTATTGAGCCGCGGCGCCGGCCAAGTATCTTTTTTTGTAACAGTGATTCAGGTATCTTTAAAAAGTTATACACACATGACAAATCCTTTGTGGAAAATTGCAAGATATTAAAAACAAAGGGTTTTAAATTTAAACTACTTGAATTTAAAGAATTCAAAATTTTTTCAACAAAGTTTAATTAAGAATTCTGAAGTGCCTACCTTTCTGCTAAGAATAAAAATTTATCAGAAGTTTATTTTACAACAGAATATTTTTCTAATACTTTATGTATGTTGTCCTTTAAGAATTATCATAACCAACTTTTCTTAGGCCACTGTAAAACTGAGATTCTAGATGATGATGCTCAATCTTTGAGTTGCGCATCAATGAACAATCAAAATCAAAGAAAAATGGAAAATTGTGATAGTTTCCTAGATAATTCAAACTGCAAAACCGCTGTTTATGTTATCTGAATATTTTAGCTAATTGTGTTTTGGTCAAAATTACCATATAATTCAGGAAGGCATTCCTGTAGTCTGACCATGAAAGAAAGTCATTCATTTGCCACCATTACATGGCCAAACATTTCTTTCCACTCTTGATGAATACACACAGGTACCCACCAATACTATTACCAAGCCTACAATCAACTTTAAGCCTTTTCCTGCTACTCTCACCTATATCCCTGCATACCTATATCCTTACACTAGCCACAGTACTCAGGTAACATAACGACATTCCTGCACACCTACCTTACTGGCTGAAATACTCATGTACAAACCAAAAAACAAAACAAAACAAAAAAAACCCTCAGTAACCTACTCATGAAAACACACACAAAAGTGATGGAAGGCATCAGTGTAGTTTCCAGAATACATGTTTCTTGGATTGAAGATGCATTTGAGGAAAGATTGGATAGAGTGGGAAGAACAAATCAAATTATCTGAATTATTATCTAGATAATTCTATATTTCACTATGATATGAGAGACACTTATAGTGTCATCTAAGTTAACTACTGAGTGATGGAGATAGTTTAAGTGCCAAAAGAACTACATTGTATGACAATACATTTTTTAAAAAAGCAATTTAAATGATCCTGGGTTTTTCTTCCTAATTCCAATACATCGTTTGCCAGAAAAAAAAAGTGACCCTTACCATCTTAATAATTTGGAAAATTTCACATTCAAGTACACGGTGTTAAAGAAAATTTATGAATTTTCAATCATGTATTATTTTCACAGCGTTCTGAAGAAAGCATGGATTTAGAATATATGACATCACAGTCATCATCATCAACGGAAATCTACACATTGGAGGAAGCAGAACACAGTGAGAAACCAGAAATTAATTAAATTCAAGAATAATAGACACAGTCAATTTTATCAGTTTAATTGTAGCAGTATGTTTATTTAAGTCAAGTCCAATCCATGTATTTAGAGTGTTTTATCATTTATCTTTAAAAATCTTCCCATCGACAATCTCAGTAAATCATCCTTAAAATACCTAAGTCTAATGTTGTCTCTGATTAGTTTTTTAAAATCCTATTTTAAGGTGGAAAAATAATCATTATGAAGCATAGAGAGCTTTCAGCTGTTTGTAAATACATCTTGATAATAGCAACTGTAAATTATAACACAAAACAGAAAGAGAATTAATTTACTGTGGCATAGGAAGTCTTGGAAGTGCCTAAATGCCCTAAATAGTTTTCTGAGATTTTTTTACATTGTTTAGGCCTCAAGGAAAACCAAAGCCCCACCTCCAGGTTTGGTAGCAAACAAGCTCTGTTTCTCAGGTGCAAAGCTTGCGTCACTCCCCTGGTAAAAAGCTTCCTGCACATTTGCCAGGAAGCCAGGCAGCTTGTCAACAGGCACTATTGATACGGTGCAGCCTCCCCATCCTGCTCCAGTAAGCCGTGATCCTTGAGCACCAAATTTCCTAAAACAGAAAATGAAAATAAGAATGATTTGCTTGGAGTCACAGAACACATTGCCAACCCATGTTCTCGACAGGGAATATGTGGGGGTTTTTGGGTGGTGTCAAACACTTTAGGACATCAAGAAGCATATAATGTTTCACAAGGTGATTTGGAATGTCTTCATTGTATCCAAAGTGAGTCCCTGCTTTTGAATGCAAGGAGTAAAAGTACTCCCATTTCTGAAGTCTGGCAATAACCAGCTGTAGACTTGATTCCATAAAGTAGCCACTTAAAGAGTTGTGTTTCAAGACTAAAGGTAAACCAGGAAGAGGGAGTAAAAAGAAAACAGGCAATGGACATGATTAATATGAATCAGAAGATCACTTCAAATAAGGGCAAATCAAAAGCAAGGACGCTTCCTCCTGTGGCTATTTCAGCTGCATTCTTCAGGCTTGGCTATTTCACACACTAGAGTCAGTCCCCTAGAACAGATAGCCTAGATTCATGCTAAATAAACATATCAGCAAAGAAGTTGTTATTAAACTCTAGGAGAGTTGGTTTCAGGAGTGGGGAACCTTTTTTCTGCCAAGGACCACTGGATATTTATAACATCATTCACAGGTCATATAAAATTATCAACTTAAAAATTAGCCTGCTATAGATTTATTGAATTTCCAGTCCCACCTGTGGTTGCCTTGGCAGAGACAGACCAAATGATTTCCTGGGCTTTATGTGGCCCACAGGCCAGACAGTCCCCAACCCTGTAAAATCTCTAATGGAAAAATAGGCAAACCTTTCCACAGAGAGGAAGGTAGACCCTACCACTTCCTACCACCTTCCCCATGTCTTCTGTTGTTGGCTTGAGAACTGGACTCAGAACTACCATGAGAGGAGATGTGTCTGCCTGGGAAATGAGCACATAAACTGGCACACAGCAAGTGGTATTTCAGTCACCATCAACCAGGCACAGTTTCAATCCTAAGATCTGAACCAACGAAAACGGCGCTATACAGAGTGCAAGGATCACTCATCTTTAAAAGATGCAATTTGCCCTGCCAACAAAAGTTAACATGTACTTCCAATTAATTCTTTCTAATAAAATTTACTCCAAATTAGTAGCATATTAAAAAACACCATAATTAATTTAGCACAGTTTTGTCCCTTTTTTCCATCTAAATGAGCTACTTTACTTCCTGGAAAATATCAATAGATTATTACCCCTATTCCAGGACATTAGAATTAGTGTACACCAGTAATTCATTTCCCCCCTCAATGATTTTCTCAATTGATTTCTTTTCATCATCCATTTTATTCATTAAAATATGCTTTCCAAATGAAAATGAATATTTAAGGAAGAAAAATGCTTACAAACAAATAAAGAATACTGATTTCTGCCTATCCTTCAAACATTCAGCATGTGGTACAGAAGCTGAACTGAGCCAAACTCTTATCCAGACTAAAAATGTTCTCTGATTCTAGGATTCTAGGATTATTTTGAGTTCCTAGGTTGGCAAAGGGCCTGTTTGCTGTTGGCTGATTATTTTTAAAGTTGTCATCCAATCATATCAAAAACTCTAACTATGTAAGATGCTGGAGAAAACTGAGAGGTCTCTGCAGCCTCTGTGGAAGACCCAGCCAACCCTGGAGCAGTCTAGAGAACAAAAATGTGCCAAACCATGCCATTGTGCTGGACTCAACTCACCAAGTCTTTAACGGTCTTTAATGCATATTTTCTTACACTTTCTCATTTGAGCAGTTTTTGAAAGCTGTGGTTTCAAAACTGAACCTAAAGCAAATTGAGAGTATTGTTTCTAATCTGGATGCAAAACCCATAGGAATTGTGCTAGAGGGCATATTTTCCTGAGCCTCCTGCCAGTTTCCAGAGAGCAAAAACTGGAAGTCCTTCTAGGCGAAAACTCACGCGTTCACTTCTGAGTCTCCAGAACCGCTCTGTCACCACCCTGCCTACTGCAGATGAAATGGGCTGGGTCGTATCAGCCACAAGGTCCAGAACGATCAGAGCTCAAATTTCCCAAATAGAGAATGGTAAGTGCTTTATAAATGGCCTTCTGTCCCTGCGTCAATGGCACCAGTCAACAGCCTGCCCTGCTACACACACTCACAGCAGCACAAAGATTGTGTCTGCTGTGTCTCTTAATAGGCCGTATATCATAGAAATTTCAACGGAGATCCAAAAGTTAGGAGACCAACATAAGCTTTAAATTAAGAAAGAAAAAATAGGTGAGCAAATGGTATTGTGTGCATTTTTGCATTTTTTTCTGCAAGAACAGTAAAATACTTAATATATCTCCTGAGCTATTGCACATTAGAGAGGTGATTCAAGAGTTACAAAAGCCAAAACCCTAAAATCTCCCAAATGATACTCTGATAATTATACCCATTGGATTGGGAAAAATGTGGAATGGTTTGTTAAAGCAGCCTTTCCCTTACAGAGTAAGATCTACAAAACAAAGGCTAAGGTAAATGAGGGATGGAGGTTGAAAGGACTTTTTCCTTTGAACCTCTTATCACCAAAAAATGTATTTGCATAATTAAATGCCCAGATACCCAAAATAACCTAACTAAAATTTCCCATATTTCAATGAACTGCTTTGACCATGAAACATGTGCTAAATTTTAAGGGTCGAAAAAGAAATTAAAAAGGACACAACTGCACTACACACTGGAAAGAGGGAAAACCTGGTAATGCATATGCTGGGAGGCAAGCACTCAAGTACTTGAGTGGGGGACCTGGACTGAGTTTCTGGCCAGCCCAGCTTTTGCAGGCATTTGGGGGATGAACCAGTAGATGAAAATATGTCTCTGTCTGTCTCTCTCTCTCCCTCTCTCTGCCTTTCAAATAAGAATTTACAAAATTACATAATTTTTTAAAGATTTACTTATTTATTTGAAAGGCAGAGTTACAGAGAGGCAGAGACAGAGAGAGACAGAGACAGAGTCAGTCTTATATCTGCTGGCTCACTCCCCACATGACTACAACGGCTGGAGCTGTGCAGATCCAATCTGAAGCCAGGAGCCAGGAGCTTCTTCCAGGTCTCCCACATGGGTGCAGGGGCCCACGGGTCTGGGCCATCCTCCACTGCTTTCCCAGGCTATAGCAGAGAGCTGGATCGGAAGTGGAGCAGCCGGGACTCGAACCGGTATGCATATGGGACACTGGCACTCAGGCCAGGGCTTTACCCACTATGCCTCAGTGCCAGCCCCAAACTTAAGAGAAAAGGGGAGAGTAGGGAATTATGCCTTGCATTTCTGTTCAATTTGACTTATTTCAAAATATACCTTTTTTAATTTTTTTAACTTTTATTTAATGAATATAATTTCCAAAGTACAGCTTATGGATTACAATGGCTTCCCCCCCCCATAACTTCCCTCCTACCCCCCACTCTTTCTCCCCTTCCATTCACATCAAGATTCATTTTCAATTCTCTTTATATACAGAAGATCAATTTAGTATATATGTAAAGATTTCAACAGTTTGCACCCACACAGAAACACAAAGTGAAAAATACTGTTTCAGTACTAGTTATAGCATTAAATCACAATGTACAACACATTAAGGACAGAGACCCTACATGAGGAGTGAGTGCACAGTGACTCCTGTTGTTGACTTTACAAATTGACACTCTTGTTTATGGCATCAGTAATCACCCTAGGCTCTTGTCATGAGTTGCCAAGGCTATGGAAGCCTTTTGAGTTTGCTGACTCTGATAATATTTGGACAAGGTCATAGTCAAAGTGGAAGTTCTCTTCTCCCTTCAGAGAAAGCTACCTCCTTCTTTGATGACCTGTTCTTTCCACTGGGAGGGATCTCACTCACAGAGATCTTTCATTTAGGTCTTTTTTCTTTTTTTGCCAGAGTGTCTTGGCTTTGCATGCCTGAAATACTCTCATGGGCTTTTCAGCTGGATCCAAATGCCTTAAGGGCTGATTCTGAGGCCAGAGTGCTGTTTAGGACATCTGCCATTCTATGAGTCTGCTGTGTATCCCGCTTCCCATGTTGGATCGTCCTCTTCCTTTTTTATTCTATCAGTTAGTTTATATCTTACATAGCTGGATATTAAATTATTTGATGAAATCTTGAATTTGGAGACAGTCATTCTGTCTCTAATCACAACCTAGCAGAATTCTAGGAATCTGTAAGTTATTATAATTGACTGCCAAACTGTTAAATTTATTTTCAAATATAAAAGAACCTTACATATAAATATAAGCAATCAATCAGTAGCATGTTCTATACCACAAAATATTTCTAGCTTCTAATCTCTGGAAACTGGCAAGAATCTCGTGAAAATAGAAAATAGACTTTTCCACACAATTTCTATGATACTTACAGTTCAGTTACAAACACTTTCAGGCTGATTTAGATTCAAGAAACTACAGCCCCCAAATAGGGTTCATACAAGAAAGAATATGAAAATATGCCCAAAAGTCTATTTTAAATCTTAAGCCACTACAAGGCCACTGAAGAGCAGTTGCTGGGGAGCAAGCAAATGACGTATTTATCAACAAGTGAAAGAGGCCCAAAGAGAAAGAGGCCCTGGGGTAGGGGAAATGGTTCCCTCCACTTTCCATGCCAGGATATGCAGATTACCATTTTTTTTTTTTTGACAGGTAGAGTGGACAGTAAGAGAGAGAGACAAAGAGAAAGGTCTTCCTTCCATTGGTTCACCCCCCAGTTGCCGCTCCGGCAGCGTGCTGTGGCCGGTGCATCACGCTGATCTTAAGTTAGGAGCCAGGTCTTCTCCTGGTCTCCCATGAGGTGCAGGGCCCAACCACTTGGGCCATCCTCCACTGCCCTCCTGGGCCACAGCAGAGGGCTGGCCTGGAAGAGGGGCAACCGGGACAGAATCCAGCGCCCCGACCGGGACTAGAACCCAGTGTGCTGGCACCGCAGGCAGAGGATTAGCCTGGTGAGCCGCGGTGCCAGCCAGATTACCATTACCATTTAAAGTCATGGGGGAAGAGCAGACACTAGGGGACTGCACTTCATTCTTCCCCA